CTGATTTGTTTGGGTTTATTTGGATATTAGCCATAGAATAGAAGGATTCTGCGATTGAAATTATTTTGGTTAGTTCTGTGTGTGAGGATGCAACCCATAGAGTGTCATCCATATAAGCAAGAACTGAGTATCTGGTTTTAATTTGATTGGTTGAAAAGTTTTTTAAACTAGTGAACCATGAACTTTGCATTTGATATCCAGGTATAGTAGAATATATGTGGGAAATTAGAGGGTCGTAGTAAATACACCAAAGTAATGGTGTGATTGTTTCTCCTTGGTCAATACTATCTTGCACGAAGTAAGAGGGTGTGAGGCCTAGGTTGGTAATTACATCATTATGGTGACCAATAAAGAGGTTGGAGATTGTATTGATAATTGAAGCAGGAAGTGCAAGACGTAAAAGAGCATGGTACAAAAGAGTAGAGTTAATGGAGTCATAAGCCTTGCTCATGTCTTGGGACAAGAGCCAGATTTCTTTGTAGTTACAGCTTGCGTTTTCAATAAGGTTATTAAGGATGTGTATAGGAATAGAAGTGCTATTGCCTGGAAGAGCAACATAGTTATAAGGAGAGAGAGAATAGGGTGTTGAGAGAAGACATTGTTTAATCTGTTTGTAAGAATCTTGGTATATATTTTTCTAGCATGTTCTGTAAGGCTAATAGGGCAAGTTATTAAGATTTCTATCAAATGTGTTTCTCTTTGGAATAGGGTAGATTCAGCTGTGTTTCCATTGTTTTGGAATGTAGTTTTCAGAGAGGCATCTGTTTAAGAGAGCAACAAATGCAGTTATACAATGATGGCTGAGATGTTTAAACATTTCGTAGCTTATGCCAGTAGGGCCACAGGCTTTGTTGTTAGGGAGTTTGGCAATAGTTTGAAGGACCTCTTCAATTGTAATAGGTGTAGTAAGAGGGTTATACCAGTCTGGGTTGATGTGAGATAAAGAAGAGTAATATTGTTGCCAGGTGTTATTGAAGAGTAGATGGTTAATAGGTTTGTGTGCGGTCCAATTGTTAAAGTGTTGTTGTATATGTTGTTTGATATTTGTAGGATTTGTAACAAGTTGGTTTGGGAGCTTGATATTGGAAAAATGGATAGGAGCCTTGTAGCGGTCAAGTATACTGTTAATTGCATGAGTAGGCCTGGAAACAAGAGTTTCACATCTCTTTTCTGATGCTTGGTTGATTTGTTGTCTGAGGTGGAGTGAATATTTTAAGTGGTAGGCATGGTACACCTGCTTCCAAACAGTATAGACTTCTTCAAGCCATACTTGGATATAATCAGGATCCAATATTGGAGGTGACTGAAGATTGCACTTTGTATATGAATTAATTAATATGATATCTAAATGAATGTACTGCAGATGCATATCTGACTGATCAGTGTTGGAGCGAATTGTTTTAATAAGGTGGTTAAGTTTTTTAAGTCCTGTGTAGAGTGCAGTACAATGTGGGCTGTACTTATGGTTATAGCTGCATTTGCGTATAACTTTGCTAGAAACTTTTCTAATTGCAGCCTGTATAATACAGTGTTGGATCTTATGCCAAATACTGTCGATACTAATAGTAGAGTCAGTAGAGGTAGGGATATGGTGTTGTTGAAAAAGTTCAGTAGCAAGGTCGAAAAACTCAAGCCAATGATTAGGAGATATAGATTTATAGTTAAAAATTCTACGACAGATATTGGTATATAAGCGAGGTGGTTTGCTATATACATTTAGAAAAGTCCAGGTGGTAGAGAGTATGAGATGATCACTAAGTGTGCTTGTTTTACTATTATCGAGATTGTAGGCTAGAAGAAATTAAATGTTAAATGAGTTAGTCTAAATGTAGTCAATTTTGCTAGAGCTTGTATTGTTGGACCAGGTATGTGAGATATTGTTTGAGTGAGAGCCGATATCAAACATGTTTAAACGGTGTAGAAAGTTAATAAGTTTAAATCTGGCAGAGGAGCTGAATATATTGTCATGTGTATTAAAATCACCGAGAACAATAGGGTGAATGTTTTGTTGTTGGGCTTGCAAAATCTAGCTAATGACAGTATTTTGGGTGGCGTTTCTTCGGGAGGAATCAGTAGAAGAGAGGTATACAAATATGACTCGAAGTTTAATAGTATTTTTAAAGAAAAGATCAAGTGCGATTGCACCACCAGGATGTATTTAGCTACTATGTACATGGGGTTTAAGAAAACTGCGTATCATAATAGCAGACCCTTTAGCAAAGCTATCAGAGTTTGCCCAGTAGTAAGTGTAAAGATTGTTGTTACAGAAAGATAGTTTTGTTTTATGTAAGATTTTTGTTTCAGTAATACTGGCTATTGTGATATTGTGATTAATGCAGTAATCTTGCCAAATTTGTCTTTTGGAAGGAGTGTTGAAGCCTCTGACATTGTGTGTAGCTATAGTGAGATACAAGTCACGGTTGTTAGCTAGTAGAGTTGGTAAATTAATAAGTGATGAAGGACAAGTTTGGGAGGAGGATGTAGAGAGGTTTGATAAGTTTGTATTAAGACTTGGTGGGATATAGAGGTTAGTATTGTATAAGATGAGAGCAGGTGTTTGTAAAGATGCAGATGAGTTAATGAAAAGAGAGTCATCAATAGGAGTTGGTATAAAAGAGTTATTATCCATAGTTTGTGTGTAAGATTTGAGGGAGGCATATCTAAACCAGCGAAGTAAGTCTTGAAAAGGAGGGATGAAGTGATTTGGAAGTGGGCAGGTTTCGTTAGATAAATAGATATGTGCTTCTTCATAATTATTATCTTCATCTTTTTTGTTGAGAATGGAGATTTTGATATAGTAAGGTGAGTAGTATGAGGGAGATTCTTAAAAGATATAAAGCAGAAAGGTGTGGATTGTTTGTGGATGTTGAAATAGAGGTAGTTTGTAATAAAAAAGGAATTTATTGTAACATGTATCAAGATCTATAGTTCCAAGCATTTCTGTTACTTGAGTAATTGTTTCATAAGCATAGTGGTTTGGTATGTAGTAATCTTCACTATTATATTTTTCTTCTAATATTACTTTGTATGGTGAGTGTGATGAGTCAGAAAGTTGATCGTTGTTGGTGTTTAGTGTAGCAGGTGGATCATAGAAGATTAAAGATGTTGAAGATAATATCACCAGAGAATTGTCTTTTGCATCAGTCACCATATACCCGGTTTGCACGGTTTCGCAAGAGTTAGCAACAATCAGGTTGGACGTTAGAGAGTTGTTTGATCCTAACCCTTCCGGGTAAATGGGCTTTACTGCCTGCCCACTTACATCATTTTCTATATTAACTACATCAGCTGTATCTTTTAATATAGCAGCGGCTGCATTTATATTTGCAAAAGACATAACTTGGATTTTAAAGAAAAGTGAATTATAAAGAAGAAGAAGAAGAATATATAAAGAAAAGAAAAAGAGATAAATAAAAAATAAAGAAATATATAAAAAGAAATTAAGTATATATATATAAGAAAAAGGTAGTATTGATAGTTAAAAAAGTTAAAACATTATAAATATAGAGAAGAGTTAAATGTTGTATTTAAAAATAAAAGGTTATTAAGTTATAAAGAAAATATAAAAGAGAGTTGAGTAAAGTTAATATAGTATATATTGCTAAAAGAATAAAAGTGAACGTTTAGAATTTGTAATCAGTTCCTATCATCACGGTGCACCGGGTTTGATATTTAACCGGTGGAATTGAACATGTGACCTTGTTAGGTCATACGCCCAATCCGCTATACTACAAGGGGTATATTGTAAAATTTTAAAATAGTCTATTTTTTGAAGATCTATTTGTTAATAATTGTCTGATGGATTTAGTTAATCTGTCCTCGTGATTTGATAATCATTTTGTTAAATATAGATTAAAGTTTGTATTACAAATAGATTTATAAATATTAGGAGTTGATTAAGATTGATAAGATCGTTGTTAAGATGAAAAAAAAGAAAAAACATAGTTATTTGAAGAGTCGTCAAAAGCATACTTATAAGTGAAAACTTCTGTCTCGACAAGAAGTAGCTGAGACAACAAGTAGTGTTGAAGTGAAAGAATATGTTGAACAAGAACCTTTAGCTTATCAAAGGGTAGTTAAAGTTAATAATGATATTATTGCAGAAGAGCTTGTTGATGATAGTTCAAGTGGAGTTACTAATAGCAATTTTTCCAAAGAAGAGAAGTAAGTATAAAAATAGTAATAATAAGATAAATATGAAGATTTGAAAGGTAATAATAAAAATAAAGAAATAAAAGAAATGAGTATTAATAATGATATTTAAATATCTAGTTTATGAAATGAAAATAGAAGGTTGAAGGAAAGACTTGAAGTATTAGAAATTTAATTAAGAGAAAAGAAATTGAGTCAAGCGACAGTAAATTTTAAAAGAGATATAGAGTATAATAATTTGTATGAGCAAAAGATGGAGTTATTGCGAAAGATGGAGTTGTTACAAAAGTATTATTTTAAGAAGAGTTATATAGTAGGTTTAGGAGATAGTAGTTATAAAGGAGTAAATAAAAATGATTATGATTTGAGTATTGTTTAGGTGTTTTCAATATATATAGTGTTGGTAATGAAAATTGTAGTATTTTGTTTTTCTCAGAAGTAAATTTGTTTAAAATAAACTAAGATTGAATAAAGTTAAAGTGATTATTAGAAGTAAGAGAATATATAATAATTTTATAATGAGACTTTAAAAGAGCAAAATTTGAGATAAAGTTTGTTAAAATATATTTTCTCAATGGGGTGTGGTGAATTGATAATTGAGAAGAATAGTGGGTCTTTTTACTAACTCGCCCGGTTCTCACAGCTGTGCAAGATGCCAAAGTCTGCTTTGTGCATTGAGTCTGACTATCATTTATTGGCCCTTCCACGTAATAACAACGAATATCTTGATTTCTATCACCACAAATTATCATTGAAATTTTAATAGTTACATTATCACATATAATATTTCTTATATAACAAAAATTTTGAATATATAGGTTACAGATATCTAGCATATTTTGTAAACTCTATAAAATATTTTTATTTAATTCTTGCATTGCATTTTGATGATTTGTAATTTCATTTGCAATATAATAAATATATAATTGAGCAAATGCTGGTGTGCAACCTTCATTTGATAATAATGATCCAATTAGATAATAGACTTGGCTATAAATTCGAAAATTTGATATGCTATGTCCCAAAAATTGGTTATCTACATTAGTACCAAAAAAATGTACAAGCCAAGGCACTGTTATAACCTCTAGCATGTTTACGAGACTCAACTGTATTAGGATTAGTTGAAGTATAAAGATTTAGTAAATAAGGTGGAGGTTTAAGTAAAGGTAGTAATTGCACTTTGTTATTAGCACAACAAAGAGGAAATTTTGGAGCAATATATTTACTATTTTGATTTTTTTTAATCATCCAAAACTTAGCTTTATAATATCGACAGGTCTGATCCATTCTACCCATATTATAACATTTAGTTTTATCATGGCGAGAACTTTGATTACTTTGAGTATTAATAAACTCAAGATTAGTAATTGTAAAAACTTCAGTATTAAGTAAAAGTGAGAGATTATCAGAATCAGAACTAGAATTAGTATTTATAGCAGAAGTTTCAACTACAACTATAGGATCTTTAGTATTAAGTAAGTATTGAAGTTCTTCAAAAACATCATCAAATAAGTGTGAAGTAGTTTTTCTATTCTTAGCTTTAAAACATTTTTAACACTCACAGATAAGTTGCTTTTGATGTTTTTTTGATGATATAGTATTATTGGAAGATGATGCCATTATCTAAAAAATAAATAATTATATATAAATAAGTAAAAATATTAAAAGCTTAATCAAATTTAGAAATTGAAAATTTAATATAATAATATATACAATTAGTAATTAGGTTATTAATTATTTTGTAACAAAGTTTTATACAAAGTTAGAAAACACAGTTTAAATAAATATTATCAGTATAATTATTATTAAGTACGAAGTAATAAGATTATGACTAAGATATACTGTAAATATATAAAAATTATTATTTGTTATAAATAATATAGATATAAATTTTTAAAGAATAAATGAAATTATAAATAACTAATTATTTTTATCTTAATATTTAAGTAAGCTTTAATTATATTATAAGATTAAAAATAAATTTTATACTTATTATTTAGTGATTAGATTTAGATTTTTAAATAGATACTGGATAGATATAGTATCTATATACTTTAAAAAATTTTTATCTCAACTTCAGACTTGCTAAACCAAATTATATAACTAAAATTTTTTTTTTACAAAATATATTAATAATAGTTAGGATTAATATTATAATAACTATATATGCTACTTTACAACAAACCAAAATTCTTGATTAAATAAAATTTAGTTATATATATATATATTTATTAATATTAAAAAAATACTTCTGGAATCTACTAAATTATATTAGAAGCACATGCTATCCTTGTATTAGTATGTGTACTATTTCATATAATCATGATACTAATTTAAAAAAAAGTCCTAATTAATTCATTATACTGGATATCTGGTTTTATATTATAGGAAGACTTTTGTATAATTGGCAGCAATGTACAAAATTTCCGGGTGATGTATTCTGTTTTTTTTCCGGCGGTGTTTTTTCTAATCAGAATTTAGTAATCACAGCCAGAAGTGTTAATTTTAATAACTATATCAATATATAATTTATTAAATCATAGCAATAGTGATAGTCTAAATTAATTAAAACCGGAAAATTTTTCAACTCTAAAAATCGGGGCAGAAAGTGTCACATATAAATGAAAATCTCTGGCATTTTACAATAAAGGCAGTTTAAATCAATTTAATAATTTAATAAAAAAAAGTTCTAATTAATTCATTATATCAGATATCTGGTTTTATATTATAGAAAGATTTTTGTATGATTGGCAGTTTAAATCAGTATATAGAAAAGTTCATTAGGAGGGCTCAACCATTAAAGATAATTAAAATCATTTCTGGTTTTAAAGAAGTTAGCATAATAATGACTTCTTAAAGATAGAATTAGGCTATTACTATTTGAAAACAAACTTTATATATTTCTTTTTGTTTATTCTTTATAGTTTTATTTTTTTTAAAAAGTACTTTAAACTTTACTTATTGTTGTACTCACGTCTAATGATAAATAATGTAACTTCTTTTATATCTTCTAAGGTTTTTTTATTTGTCTTTTTTAATTCGCTTAATTCAATTTAAACTGCTAATCATACAAAAGTCCTCCTATGAGGTTTTATAAACTGAAACTTCTGGTATGATAAGCTTGGATCTTAAATTAATGTTGCAGCTGATGCTGAAAATGGCTGATGCTGAAATTTGGGGTCTCTATTTAAATCTATAATACCTACTAAAATCCACATATACTTTTTTATTAATAAAACTACCCTACTAACCCTAACCTAACTATGAAAAAAAAGTGTAAAAAAAACCAAAAATTTTTTATAATTTTATAATAAAATATGAAAAAATTTCAACATCAGCCGTTTTCAGCATCAGCTGCGACAATTAATTTAGCTTCAATCAGGCTGAATAGTTTAAATCGATAAACTAACAAATATAGCCTGTAAATTATTCATCAATTAACAAATTTTAGTACTGCCGCATTCTTTTTGCACTTAACTAAGCATAACGATAATTATGGGTTATAGGTTTCTCTTTATTAATATAAATAAATATATCAATTATTACAATATTATTAAATATCATTTTTCTCTTATTATAAACTAAAACTATCCCTTAAATTGTATTTGGGGCAAATTTGCCCCAAATTTTTAAAAGTTTTTAGAATTTTTTAAATAAAATAAAAAATTATTAATAATATGGGGTATATTTTAATATAAAATATCTTGTTTAAAATATATTTTATTAACTTTATTAATAAAAATATTTTAACTTATTAAAAAGTTTTTAAGCAATAAGAATTTAAAATTTTTATTT